GATGCTCCCCCGGGAAGATTTATTTTTAAATATTGAAGTTATATGCATCAATCTGGTGCACTTTGAGAGCAAAATGAAGAGATCTATGGATACCTCTCTCAACACCCATATGAAGCAGAACTGTATACAGATGTACTTTTTTCTTTATGGATATTTTACTAATCACTCCCCCTTTTAAACTCTATTGTTTTACTGCCATATAGTATTTCATAACTGTTTTTCCTTTATTCTCTTTTTTTTTTATAACTATAATGATCATATGAAGGTGTGCCGCGGAAATAATCTTTTGAATAATTTGTGACCAAACCGTTTGAGACCCACTGAGATAACTTAGACTAAAGTTATGTATCTAAACACTCAGAGAGTCCTTTAGCTCACCTGAGTCTCAGTCTGACAGGAGAGGACTCTCCTCCAGCTTCTTGTGGAACAAACAGCTCCTTATGTCCGTTAGTGCAGCTAGCTAACCAGATGCTAACAACACGGTCCATGCTGGCACCGGTCCCTCCCTCCCCCTCTCTCTCTCTCTCTATTACACTAAATGCGCTATTGCCACACACACACACAGAGCCGAGCTTGAATGACACAAGCACGCGTTTATTTCCATGCAACTCTCTGATTGGTCTGGTGTCATGCCTCTGTTGCATTCACTGAACACGGGAAAGCCCCGGATGCCCAGGCCAGGCGACGCCACTGACACACACACACATTCAATACATACATACAGTATGGTGGCTTGAACTAGTGGGAGAAATGGCACTGTTTGTCTGTAGTCAATGCCTTGAACCTCGGCAAAAAAGGCATTAGAAGCATTAGAAAGTCAAGGTAAACTTGCGGTTAACTTGCGGTCTGCTATGCGTGTCACGCTCGCGCACACAAGTAAATATATATGCACATTCATTCTCACAACGCGTCAGACACAAGACGCGCATACATGATGATGTACATTAATTTATCAGAATCAGAATTATTATTTTTTTTATTATTTTTTGATTTTTTATGATGGGACACAGGGTTCGGTCCGGATTGATTTGTAGTTCGGTCCGGATCCGGACCTTGGTCCGGAGTTTGAGAAGCCCTGGCGTAGTGTATGTGAAATTAACCTCACAATAAGATGTGTGTATATTACAAATATTAATGTCATATTTCAAGATGATTACTTAGATATTACAATATGGTTGGTTGAGCTGGAGTTCATTATTGAGCTACACGTTAACGTCACAGTCATATCTGAAGAACGAACCCAAACCTTGTTCTTTTTATTAATTGTATTACCAAATTGGTATCAAATAAATAGTAAGCATTGGTAATACCAAATAAAATGATAAAGTAAACTATTTTATTTGAGTATTCCTATGTTCGGCAGTTAGAGATTCTCTTGTACAAGAGAATTACAAAATAAATCAATATGGACCATTACTGTATAATTATCCTTAACTTATGTTATACAATGCACCTAATAAACAAGTATGGCATTTTGAAACATGATGTGCAACAATTTTAACTGTAACTTGTGTGCATTTTGTTGTTAACTAAGATGATGTTATGATTTATTTTTTGTTAGCATGCACGTGGACGCTTTGGACATACCTGGAGAAGGAAGAAATGGGTCTTCGGAATGATGGGAGTTAAAGACAAAAGCGGAGACTAGTGTTGAAACTAGTGGAGAAAGGATCAAGATGCCACCTTGTCCCTCTGATTAGACGGCATGTTAAGTCAGGAAGTAGCATTATTAGTGATGAGTGGAGGGCATACAGGAGAGTGCTGAGTAACATGGGGTACAACCACTACACCATAAACCACAGCAGGTGGTTTGTGAACCCTCAGACGGCAGTCATATCCAACACATAGAAAGAGCTTGGTCGACCGTCAAAGGACATGTCCGTAGACTGAGAGGAAACCGTACAGAGAGTTTGTTGGAGGAACACCTCAAGGTTCTTGAATGGTCATCTTGGCTTGGCTCTGCTCACCCTGATGGACTGCTTGGACGCTTGTTCAAGAATATACACAAAGCCTTTCCAGTCTGAGTACCATTATGTCTTACCAAGTCTTTAATTTATGTCTGAGAAAAGCTTTTATGTTTAAATATGTGTATCAGTCATAAACAGTCATTACTTTGAGTCCTAATTTTCTTCATGTGTGAATAAAATGTTTTCCTTGGCTCTGTTGCATCTTACTTTGCATTTCATGTGAAAAATGTGTATTAGGTAAGCGTGAATGTTATAACTCATTCATAAATGGACATGTGTATTAAACTTAAAAACAACGCACCCTTTCAGTAGTTATAAATGTTAGTGACTCATCAATAAATGGTGATGTGTTTCACACTTTACAATAAGGCTCCCTTTTACCAATTATAAATGGCAGTAACTCATTAATAAATGGTCATAAGAGATGCCAAGAAACATCAAGATGGAAGGGGGGAGAATCAACTCAGTAAGCAACAGATACCAAGGATGCTGGCTGATGAAGAAGACGAGGTAAGCTAGGTAGCCAATATAAGGCTTAGCAGTACAGATAAATGTGGGCTCATTATTTGGCAAGCAACCGGTCACAGTTGCCCTGTTTATCTCATGTCTTATACAATCTTATTAATGATTTATTAAGTGTTCACAACCTAGTTAATAAATAAATTACAAACAATTCGTAAACCCTTTATAAGGGTAGTCTTATTGTAAAGTGGTACCGCTGTATTACTGGTGTCGTTTCCTGGTTGCTGCGTGGGGTCTGCGAGACAGCGAGACATCGCGAAACTCAGCCTGAGCACCATGGACGCGGGAAATGGGGGTGCTGCAGCCATCTGCGAGGCTCCACTAGCACCCGCACCCCCAAACGCGGCGCACCTACAGTGTAACGGAGCTTACACACAGCGGTGTGCGTTGAAGCTTCAACGCTTCTGCCCATTCACTTTGAATGGGGTGACGTCACGCTTTGCCGAACTGCATTGTGGATTCAAAAGTAGAGCAATGTTCTACTTTTGAAGCTTCGACGGAAGCGTCAGCCAATCGAACCGCTGCTTGTGTGTCCTGAGCGGGAGATTCAGGTGATTGGTTGTTGGTCTAGCTTCAGACATGCCCGCCGGCAAGCTTCAACGCACGCCGCCGTGTGTAAGCTCCGTAAGCGCGCCACAGTTTCGCCGCTGCGAGGCTGGTCCATTGGGTCGTCGTTACGTCACTTGGTTCCCGGAAGAAAAACATTGAAAAAGAATAATCTCCAACGAGGCGTTCTGGGGCAGCATAGACAGGTCTTTTCTGTGTTAGAGTTTTACTCACGACAGGGTGTACTTTGAGGGTTTGTGACTTTGCAGACTGTTTACATGCAGAAAAAGCTACAACACACAAGGGGATGGGTAATAACCGGAAAAGCATGACATTGGACCTTTAACATATATAAGTGAGCCATCCTCGTCTATTCCAGCTCTGTTGAACGATCTTAATGAATATGGAGAAATGTCAGGTTATTTGACTAATGAAACAAAATCGGTAGATGATCTCTGGTGGACCGTCCAGCAGAGCTGGATGGTAAGGTTAATTTTAAATGGTCCACTAACGGATTTAAATACTTGGGCATTAATATTACTCCTGTCACATCAAAGCTATTTGAGGCAAATTATGTGAAACTAATAAACGAGATAAAAAAAGATGTTGACAGGTGGGGAATTCTACCTCTCAACCTAATAGCTCCCTATTCCTGGCTCCAACTCAACTTCCTCAAACTCAACTGCGATAAATCTGAAATAATCATCATTGGACCTAAAAAGCTCAACACATCTAATTGTGAGTAAACAGTTTTCTATAATGTAATAAATAATAAATGCAAAAAAACTGTAGTTTTTGTCTATGATATAACAATATATACAACTTTAAAAGCTATCCAGCTATAGACAAAAAGAATGTGTGGAAAAGGGGGCAAAATGGCTCTTTTAGTCAAAAAGGTTGCAGACCCCTGCCCCATTCAGAGTTTAACTCGTGTCATTTTTGGTATTTCTATTCATACTATTAATACATGTTTATTCCTATTTTATCTTATTTTGTATTATTTTAATTGTATTCTTATTATCCCATGTGTACTATCTGTGTTTCTGTCTGAAACATTCTGTTGCTGCTACAGTATGACACCTGCATTTCCCCACAGGGATCAATGAAGGTCCATCTTATCTTATATTATCTTATCTTATTTGCTAATCATGCTTCCCCTCTCCATATGAGACTGTGCATTGTCTTTATGTTCCAACCTTGGTATTAAACAATTTAAATATTTGTTTGTTGATAATAATCTTGCATCTTTAAAACAGCTCCCAGAATTGTTCTCTCTTCCCAAAGCATAATTTATTTAGTTACCGGCAAATTTGCAATAGTTTGGTACGCAATAGATATGCCCAGTTTCCTGACACGCCTCTGAACGCTTTTCTCACTCAGGTTCCCCTGATGAAAGGCATTATCTCATATACTTACAGTCAAATCCAAACCCTATCTTCAACCTCTCTAAACTCTGTGAGAGGACCTTTGGGGCAATATTCTTGAACATGTGCATACCTCATTTGTCTGCGCCAAGCATGTCAAATCCAAATGTCACAAAAGAAAGATTAAATAAGAGTCAGAACATGAAATAGGATACGTGCTAGCTAGACAGTTTTACTTAAGTAAGCAATCTTGCCCTTGGACCGAGAGAAGACTTTTCACCCGGAAATAACACAGGGAAATCTGTTCGAATAAAATCGACACTATAAAATAGCTGCATTGGAAGCAGAGCAAAAGCAGGAGAGTGTAGTTATTACATAAGTATAATTTTCTGATTCTGGGGCTTGCCAGCACTGCTCTGGTATAAGACAGAAAGTCTTGCATGAAAGTAAGACATATTGCATGACCATCAAACAGAATAATCTCAACAACCCTTACTTCTACCTTTTCAAAACACTACTTCCTGTATTGTCGCTGAACGTGAATGTTAAGTCTGGGGTGTAAAATTGTGCAATGGAAAAACAATATTTCTTATAGCAGTACCTTCTGCCTTCAGCGTTAGCTTCAGAGAGTCTACCTTATGACGACCCTTTTTACCCTCTCTGAGCGTTTCATCAATGATGGTGGCAGTGTACTCTGAGACTTCCCCTGTCGGCTGGATTTCAACTGCAAACCTGAAAAAATAACACATTTCTTTTGTCACTGTGGAACGATCTTCCCATGCATATCAGACAGGTCTCCACACTGCTCTGCTTTTAAATCGCTTCTTAAAACCCACCTCTTCTCCTTAGCGTATTAACATCTTTTAGAGTGTTGCTTTTATTGCTTTTAAATTGTCTATTGTTTTTACTTGTACTTGTTTTATGGTGTGTGAGCTGTGCTGTGTTATTTGTTGTATGTTTTGTTTTGTTTATTTGACTGTAAAGCACTTTGGTCTGGAGGTTTAAAGTGCTCTATAAATAAAGCTGTATTGTATTGTATTGTCTCTGCTCTTTGGTCAAGTCTTAATTACCTGGAAAAATTAAATCATAGAGAACTGCATTAGGGTTATTAAAATATCCATCAAAAACAATAACTATTCATATATTAGCTGCACAAATAGAAACAAACAAATAAAGAACTCAAATCAAAAAGAGCAATGGGTATTACATCTGATTTCTTACCTGCTTTCTCCATTCAGAGGGTAATATGAGGCCTGGTCGATTGAAGTAGCATTGGAGTAACGCACTATTGTGCAGATATTTAGACCTCTTAAAAGGGGTTGGCAGTCAGTTGAGTCAATCCTGTCCTCCATCAACAATGGCACTTTTTCTGTTTGACCACAGGACACTGACAGCATCTCATTGCTGTATTCCATAAAGATAGAGAAGTGAAGAAACAGGTCAACATGACACTAGGAAACACTGAAAGTGTTTTGTTTTATTTGGCAAAGGTGCCACCAACCTAATGCTGAACAACTGCGTGTTTGACTTAGGAGCAGGGATAGACAATCTCATCTGGTTCCTGCTCAGGGTGACCTTAGCATTGAGGGAACTCTCAGAGTACAATTGACTATGCATCTCTAGCCCCGCCTCTAGATAGTCTGGAATGTGCACACCCATCTGGGTGATGAATTCTAGCCCAACTGAAGGCATGAAGGACAAGTCAGTCTGCAAGAAGAGGTAAACAACAGAAAAGCTTTTAATATAAATTCAAAGGGGACGTACCTTCATTTTACAAATACACTTACCATTGTTTTAGCAGGTGAGTGAGTGAAGCCTCCCTTTGCCCCAGGTGCAATCACACCAGCCATGGAGAACTTCAAAGGGAAACCAGAGGCAGTAGATAAAGAGAAGGCATTCTCCATGAAGATGTAGTGCGCAAAGATTTCATTTTCAGTGCTAGATGTCAACGCAAAAAAGGCCTGTTGGAAAAAAGTGCATGTATGAATTAGCATTTATGTCAAATGTCTTAGCCGATGTTTAAAGTAACATTTTTCCAATACCAATGTTTTGCTGTTTTTATTTTTTTGATAATAATAAATGTATTTGTATTAGCATTTCCATTCATTTAATTGCATTGTATAGTTAATGCATTAGTTGTTGCTTTATAAAGGAATAAAGGATTAAGATGAACAGAGACTGCACGCTCACTTTTCATGTTGACACTCAGAGCAGAGGAGAGATAATTTTTCCCCTGCAGTGACTGATCTAGAACAATTTACATTTGACAAGGGGTGGCAAGAGGTCTTGGTAGGGTGGCATTGGAGGATGGACGATATGGGGATATATGTGTTATATCAACAAACACAAGTGTTCTTAATGCACACGAGGAACAAAGCCAGTCTCAAAACCAAACACAACGAGCAGCTTTTAAAAAGTGTTAAAAGTGTTAACCTGTTAAGCCCTGAGCCTATTTTTCAGGCCTCAGGCTCAAAAATGACATGCCCAGAATGAATGACTATATCGTCACTTCTAAACCACAACATATCATAAGTACCCTGTGTCAAGATAGATTTTAATTTAGTGAAACTTTAATTTTTTAAGAATATTTTGGCACAGGTAGGCCCAGGCAGACTCACCTTTGGGTACATTTGGTTACCATCAGTGCCATTTGACCTTTCTCAGGTACCACACTGTAAAACTCATTTTATTTCATTGAAATATCACTATAGGTATTAATTCCATCCAAATACAATTGTTTTTGACCTTTTTGGAAAGTTCAGCCTGACCTCTTTGCCCTTTTTGGCCACATGCGTAATGCTGCGCCAACTGGCAGTCAGACCTATGCATTGCGCATGCATTACGCAGGGCTGTATCTCTGGAACCCATTGGTCAAATTGGGTGATTGACACCTCTTTGTAACAGTTAGAGCCAATAGGATCGAGGGGCATACATCTATGTAAACATTACCATTGGTCAGTTAGAATGACGCACACACATGCTAACCATTATAAGCCGTATATTGCCATAAATGTAATGATGGATTATCAGTAATCATTTCAAAGTGACACAGAGACATTGGATTAACCTTCAGCAGCGTTTTTATGACATTGAACACAACTTTTGATCGCAAAACAGCAAAGGTAAGACATATTTATTGTTTATTGTTTATTGAAACCGGAAGTTGTTTTCTTGCTCTTTCCTGGCAACTAGTTCAGTGAGTTTTGGTCGTACAGTGATGAGACTTATACATATGCGATCTGTGGAATCACAGCTTTCATATGATATGTCGTTTGTGCAGATAGCATTTTGCCAGTTATGTGCTAAAGTAGCATTAGCCCGCGTTAGCCCATTTCGCTAAGTGCTGATTTAGACGCTTGGTGTTAGACTTGTGTTTTGTTTAGGTAAAAATGGTTAATATCATCTGTTAGCTGAGATTCTTACCGTTAAGTGGGTATGATAGGTTAAATGTTAACCTCTTAAGCACGAGGGCCACCCCGATCGGCGCTCGTGAAAGTTTTTTTTCGAGACTGTGTCTCAGGGCTTCTTAACATTTATGAAACTATTACTGTTCCATACCCAATTAACGAGAAGAAACTCCGCTAACTGACAATATGAACCATCTTTAGCTAAAAGAAACACAAGAGTAATACCAAGCCTCTGAATTAGCCCTGAGCGAAAAAATGCTATCTAATGCTAACGCACTTTTGCACAGAACTCACTGTAGAAATGCCCTTATTACTTATCGTAACTGCACAAACAAGATATCGACTAGCAAGCTGAGATTCCACAGATTCCATACATGTAATGTCATCACTGTATGAGCAGAATTCGCGGAGCTATCAGACAGAAACAGTGGCGGCGCCAGGGTATGGCTGGGGTAGGCTACAGCCATACCAAGAAATGGCTTAGCCCCACCTCAGCCCCACCATGAAAAATGATGTTAAAGTAAGCAAATTAAATTAAATAATAAGCAAAATGCTAAATGTTGAGAACACGGCTTGCGAAATATACGGGTCGTGTCCACAACACACAAACTGATCCTGCTGTAACAACAAGTGCATGTTACTGATGCAATATGGTTGAGACCATTCGGGGTTATGCTAGAAGAGGGAATAGTTTAAGTAGTGGGGGAGTTTTATACACTAAAGGTGTGGAAATTCTCTGGCGTTATAATATCAGCGCTGCCGCGGTCAGATCAAAATGCCTCCGAATGCAATTTGAATAGACCTACAGCCAATCAGCGCAATGAAAAATTGGGTCTGCGTCATGCATTACTGATTGAGATCAATCGGAACCGCCATTCAGTATCCCCATTGGATCTTCAACGTGTACTATTATACGTCACGTTCACAGTGATCCCTTTTTATTTACTACAAGACAAATGTGCCGTTTTATTTCACACAGTTCCATTTTGATTGAGACAGGGAAATAATCTAAACCTCACGCGTGGCGTTTCACTGTCAAGGGGGGAAATATGTAATTACATTGCAAATACTGACTTGAGCCCCACCACTGTATGGGTTAGCCCTACCATAGGTTACCCAACAAAAATACTCTGGCGCAGCCACTGGCCAGAAAAGAGAAAGAAAACAACATCCGGTTTCAAAACCATAACAATAATTACGTCTTACCTTTGTTAACCTGTTTAGCCCGAGAGACCCCGGTACCGGGGCCCTCCTGCAACATCTTGCAGGAAACAGTGTCTGAGGGCATGTTCATTTAATAAACTATGAATTTTTTATATCCATGTAACGGGAAGAAACTCATCTAACTGATCTTTTTTTTTTTTTTTTCAAAATAAAACCCACAATGCTAACGCTGAGCCTCTGAATTAGCAACGAGCAAAAAATGCTAACAGATTACTGCACCGAAAATCACTCACATAACCTTATTATTTATCTTTTCTGCACATCCAACACATCGATTCACATCGTGAGCTGACACAGAATCGATGGGTAGATACGTTATCACTCAATGATACGAACTCGCGACTTTATAAACAAAAACAGACATCAAAACATGTGGCGCTAGGTAGCTAAAAACGCTAACATGGCTTACCTGTGTCGTAGTTTGGTCAAAAGTGGTCTTCAATGGCATTAATACGATAAAAACGCTGCTGAAGTTAATCCATAGGTTAATCCAATGTGTCTGTGTCCCTTTGAAATGATTTCTGATAATCCATAAGCAATAAAACGGCTTTTCCGTTTCCAGATGTCAGAGCTAGAGTATAGGTTCGCTCTGATGCAAAGCTGCATGCGCGAAGCCCCCACTTTTTTTTATTACAATGTGTGTGTGTGGGGGAATCCCCCTTCAATTCTATTGGCTCTAACGGTCAGAAAGAGGTGTCAACCATCAAAATCGACAAAGGGGGGCCAGAGATATGGAAAATCCACCCAAATGACCCCAGAAGTGGTTGTTTTTTGCTAAATCTCTCTAAAAAGGTCAAATGTCACTTGTTTTGCATCAATCTTGATACAGGGTACTTATTATATGTTGTACTTTGGATTCCTAAAGCTTTTAGTCTACTAACCCATCATCCAAGGGTAGTTTTCACTATAAGTAAAAAATAATTTTTGGACGGACACTATAATTTACATTTTTTTACTATGTTCAATCTGAATTTTCTTTAAAATAAAAAACATCTATATTGATTCTGACTTTTCTACATCCAACTCACAGGTTTATCATTACTTTGAGAAAAAAGATTATTAATTTAACCATTATAGAAGGGAAGATATGGTCATTTGTTCTGGGAATGTCATTTTCGAGCCTGAGACCTGAAAAACAGGCTCAGGGGTTAACAGGTTAAAAATGGAAATGGTATATCAACAACATTTTTTTTATGAATAGCTGGAATATTGAATGATAAAGAAAATTAATTATGAAGATATTTTTAAAAACAACCTCACAGGGTCATTTCTTACCCACTCGTGCATCTATGGTCTAGCATAGCCAACTGTGTGCATTTATTAGTAGGCCCATAAGCATAGTGGACATGTGAACAGACTCAAAAACTGTGAAAAGTCTGTACAGCTGCTAAAGCGTCTGACAGGAGATCAGCTGTGATCAGAAACACTCGCTTTACGTGATGCTTCAGAGAAAGGAAGGACGTCTCACCTCTCCACATTTCCTTGTTCCATCTCTCCTTACATGGTATCCAGTTCTATTAAAGTAATCTTACCAATATAGGCTCTAGGAGGAGATAAAAGCCTGTTTCTTTAGCTTCTATACACTTCCTCTCCAGTTATTCCCAAAATATCTATAAACTTGACTAAGCGTGGGCTTTTATTTTGAAATTACTTCCGATAATTCAGCCCTGCCCCGAGTATTGTCAATAATCACCCTGTTTTGTCGATGTAAAAATGCAAATGTTTTTGAGTTTAGTTCTCTTGCAAAATAAATGTTAGAAATCAACACATCTGACCTTGACAGGTAGCTCCCTCATGAAAACATGGTAGTACATGGACAGAGTCTGAGCCATATTTCTCATGTCATTGGTCTTCATGTATCCTATCTCAGCTCCCAGGAGACGAAGATAAGCAATGGTTTCAGGGGCTGGTGAGACATGCACATCATCCATGAGCTTCTGGGCACTGTTTGCGATATATTTCAGAAGATTCTCTGGGACCTGGAGGGATATTATCAGTGTAAGTTTAGTTTCTGGATATGCGTCTACAGCAATAAAGGGTACCAAGAACATTATAGCTGATGAGGCAGGGTTTTGAAAAGGAGATGTAGTGTACACAAAAACAAAATGTATGAGTCCAAAAATGTTTTCACCTGTCTCTTAGTTCTGTCTTTTTCTGGAAAAACTTTCTCCAAAACCTCTCTCAGAATGTTGGCTTTGTCACCTGCCCAGTACATAACTTTGGAAATGGAGTCAGGGAAGAAGCCTTGCTCTCCAAAGAGAGCATCAATCGTTGGTTCAAATCCTGTTCCCTCAACACCAACCTTGAAGGGTTACATTTGGAATGCTTAAACATCTATCAAAGAAACTATCTTTATTTATTTTTTACCACATTTATCAAATGCTAATTAAAACGTACCTCAAATATGTCATAATTGTAGTCAAAAACCTTTAAAGTGGTCTCCAGCATCACCTCCTTAGGTAAGGTGTCTGTGGCATTGAAGATGATGTTGCTCTGAATTGAGCCCAAGGCAGAGTCTATTTTGTAGTGGCTTGACATGCCATCAACTAGTGTGTTTGTGTCTGCCAGGACCAACTCAATGTCCTTCCTGGATCTTTAGTAGGGAGAATCAAGAACGTTGTCGTAAGAAGATGTTTCCCTTTCCCCATCATTTGTGTGCTAAACCACTGTACATGCATAAACAATTTGGTTATCTTTAAACAAGCGTTATTATATTTTTTGTTGTCATTTAGGGGCAGAAAAAAGTACATTCTATGAACTAGCTATGTATAACATGTGATCATGAATCACCGATGTCTAGCAGAAATAAAGCAACAATAAAACAGACTTGTTTTTAGCTGCTAGTTGTTGGAATGTTTTCACCACTGTTAGTCTTTTACTTTGTCTGTCCGTGGTTTAGTGCAAAGTGGGTAGCATACAAAGGTATTATATTTAGATATGATTTCTATTATTTTATCACATAAGTAAATATGTGCCGAGAAGATATAAATAAGCAGCTAATATTGCTGGCCCGTTACTCACTGATACATTTGTGTCTCGCCGGATTTGTGGATGTTTTTCAGATGGGAGACCACAAAGCTCTTGAGCTGCTTATCCCTCACATTCTCCAAATTGTTCAAAATGTTTGTTACCAGGGCATGGTCTGGGCTCTTCATCAGCATGAGGTAGGGCTGCTACACGTTTTTCAACAGGGCTCTGAGCGTCCTCATACACCTCCATGAAAATGTTTCTGACCTGTGGTCAAATTCAAATGACAAGTCCATACTGTACATATGTCGATTTGTTATAATGTCAATTCAATCCCACAACATTAGTGTCGTCATCATCACACTACAACAGCAATGTGTTAAAAGTGTGAAGTGTGAAGGAGTTTACCTCATCATTAATATCCATCAACCTAAAGGCCTGTATAGCTGCCTTTTGGTTTGATAATGGAATGTCTGTTTTCTTAGCACAACGCAAAATGGAGGAAATCAGGCTGGGGTTAGCAGCTTGCATGGCTTGACCCATGACAGCAACAACCTGCAGATTAGAAAAAAAAGAAATTGGACCAGACTGGATCAGACTGCACTCCTAAGATTACCTGACAAGATCTGACTATGTCGTAGTCAATAATAAGCTTTAATGATTAGTACCCTCAGTACAAGGAAGGACATATCTTCGTGGTCAGCTAGAGTGTCTTCATCAAGGATTTCTCCGGAGCAATCATTTAAAAGTGTTTCAAAAAACTTTGATACATCTTTGACCACTGGAGAGACATCTGCTTTGTGAAACCTGTGGGCCAGAGACAAAGACAATATGCTCTGGGTGGATGAAGATGATGAAAGTGTGTCTCACTAATGGTCTAATGGTAAAGGTGGCCAAAATACAACATAAATATATGTTTCATGCCCTGCTTTGATTCCTTACATTTTAAGGTATTATGCATTTTAAATATATAAAAATAAACACAAAGCAATATATTAATAACAAGGAGTGTGTGGGTTTTTAAGTCAGAGAAAAATATGTTTTTTCTTACTTCTTGACTGTGTTGGCGAGAGCATACATGATGGCTCTGCTCTGTTTATACTGAGCCATGCTGAGCATATCCCGGACACGTGTGGCATCAGGATGGGGCTGCAGACTCAGCCCGTAGACCAGGGCATCCACCCCTGGGGACAACCCATCATTTGTCCTGATAGCCTGCAGCATGGCGCTGCTGCACTCTGTGGTTCCACACTGTAACAGGGCCTGCCAGGTAAGCCAGCCTGACATATCCAACATCTCAGTGAGAGCCTGGCTCAGAGTCTCATTCCTCAGGACGCGCAGGCTGGACACAAACTTATGGAAGAGGCTGGCCCTCTTCCTACTCTGGTCTGTCCCTGCCAAAGTGACAAGGTCCTGGAGGGAGCTCAGAACAGTGTCCTTAGTCTGGACTGGAGCTTTATCCTCAGGATCTTCAAAGTGTAGTGGCTTGCTCTGGCTAGGGTTAACCTCTGTTAAAAAACATATTATGCATTCATTTTGTATTTCACACAAAGCAATGTAAACTAAAACTACACGTGTCAGGCGAACTTATTACTAACCAAACACTTTGTTGTTGATCCTTTTAGAGCTTTTAAAGATTACATCCTGGGTCACCACAGAAGATATTCCATTGTCCCTGCAACGCAGATTAGAAAGTGATGCATAACAGTGCAATATATACACACACAATCTGCACTCGCTAGATTACTTACTCATGTGAAAACGGCAGGTAGATGTGTTTTTCTGTACATATGGCGGCCGTGATGTGCTTTCCCTTGTTTTCAAACTTGTAGTTGCAGTCTTGAGTGCTTGTAATAAGTTTGGACAAGGGGCGATGCTTGAAATAAAAATCCATAATGTTTTTTGTGTTAATGTGTATGTATACTTTCAAATCACGATAACATTTTCACCAAAATGTCCAAATACTTGGAACAAGAGAAGAAGGTATTTCAATGATGTAAACAGCATTATATACAATGGGACTTCATATGGATGGATTTTTTTGTCTATTTATTTCACAGATGCAGATGCCAAATACCATACCAGTGTATCCATCTGAATTCAACTGCAGTGTAATAGTTGAGTAAACCTGCCTCAGTGAGCTCATAGAGCGGGAAAGAAAAGAAAATATTCAAAACAACTAACTAATGCTTAATCAAACATATTGAAATACAGAAATTATCGAAAATATTGAATACAAACAAAAGACAAACGACCATATTAAAATCTGGAAAAAACACTAATAATTATATGGAAACAAACCAAAACACACTGTGATCAAGATTGTTTCCACAGCTGGACTTAAAGAAAATAAACCAGACTGTCATATATGATCTAGAGGAGCAGTTTTCATATTTTGTAAGGGTTGCTTTCCACTGATGGGTTAGCAGAGATTACTGTTTGGAGAAATTAACACTTTCATAATTTCATCTGGTTGCCTGACAATTGTTTTGGCCTGCCTTCCCCTCTCCTCCTGATTTTCAACTGGCTTAACACAGTCAGATTGTATTTGTAGAACTCATCTCAATACAATCCCTGACAAAACAATGGTATATCAGACAACATACAGTCTATAGAGGCATGTACTAATATCTCACCAGTTTTTGCAGCAGCGCCAATGGGCTGTTGACTAGTTCCCTGCTGTAGAACTGGTCACACTGGGATAAATCTCTGGACAGTGTCACATCTGTGGCAATATCCTTCCTCGCATGCACAAGGTAGTCTGTTAAGCATTGGCCATGCACTGTGTTCTGACAAAAACAAAGAAAAAACAGCAAGTAAAATATTTTATCTCACAGATTCAATTCAATTCAGGAAGCACCCATCATTACTATTTGGCTGTGATAAAGAGAAGCACATGCTGAAGTGGTAAATGTATTTTTTTCACAATAAACCATGTTCTGCTTGTCGAAGTATATGTTCAACATGGTATAATTACTGTTCTGACAAAGCAAATGTATCCAGGTCTCAAACTACGTGTCATACATGTTGGTTATTTAGCAAGGTGTAAACCCATGTGAATAATTTAGCTAAAGATTAGCATGAAGGAATAAGCTAGACAGAGAAGGGTTATGCAGGGAGAGTGAGCAAGAGATCACATGATTCAGTAGGTCAGCTAAAGTGGTCTAGTGAAGATAAAAATACAATATCTTGATGGAATAAATTATATTCTTTTAAGTCTGGATTGGTTAAATAATTTTAAGGCATGCCACCATCTTTCCTGCCGTAGGCCTGAAGCAATATCTTTAGGAAAGGCTACAGCCTTCAATAAAACTACAGTTTTAGACAGAAAAGAGAATAACCACAATTGATAGCATGAATAATTATCAATGACTAGCCTGTTTAAATCAGTAAAGTTTTTTTACTTATGCTCAAGATTAAACTTGAAAAAGTCAATTTACCCCAAGATGTTCAATTTACCCCTTGAGGCAGATTAATTTACCTGTTAGAGGGGGCAAGTTAAGCCACAAGACAATTTTTTTTCAAACATTATTTTCATGGTCCCTTGTGATAGATGCATTATTTTCATTTTGATTGACAGAAGACATCCTGAAATAAAGGTTGTTGTTAACCCTTAGATGCACAAGTGACTGGACCCTACACTCTTCCATAAGTGGGTCTAAAAGGACCCGTATTAGAATAATATGTGTTTTTATGCCATTTTTGTCATTTGGTTAAGAAAAAATCACAAAAGGGACTGGAATAACTGTGAGGGTCTCCAGAATGCGGAGATCTTTGGGACAATATGTTCAAAACGTTTTTTTTTAAATGTAAAAAAAAAGTCTAAAATTATAAATTGTGAATGGCATGATATCCAAAACATGTTTTTTGAGGAATAGCTGGAATATGAAATGATAACATTTTTTAATTACAAAGATACTTCAAGAAAACCACATCACCGGGTCCAAAAAGACCCACTTATGCATCTAAGGGTTAATTCTTCCTTGAGGACAACATAAGTACAAGTTGTCTCAACTTACCCCACTCTCCCCTACTATAGGCCTGTATGCTGATGCTACAACACAGTTTACCACTACATTAATATAGCATGTCTTCATTTACAGACTCTAATGAAATAGTCAAGCCTTTTCCGGTACAATTTTAGAGAAGTGTGTGTTGGTGAGAAGATACCAACCATGAAGCTTTTTGTTTCATCCTCATGACAGGCACCATGAGTGCTGATACAATTCCTCTCTTAATGTTGAGGATGTTGACTGGCCTCGTCTGTCCTCTGGGTAAAGCTGGACAACGGCGATTTTCCCTCCACAGTGAATTTCAAGGGGTTTCTAGATGAAAAATACACAGAACAATTCAGCCACTTTACTCAGCAATGGCTCACACTATGTTAGAAGGATGTGGTCCAATACAGGCGGTCTGAAACCTCAGACCAGACTTATTGTGCTAGTGCCGATCCATCACTGCAAATGTTTGAGGTCTAACTTACTGTCTGTCCTCTGAACACTTCATCATAACAATTGTCCCATAGTACAGAGCCAGCGAATGGCCATAGAGACTCAGATCAGATGGGGTCTAAACTAACCACAGTTCAACTCCTGCTTATGTGCACATCAAACAAGTTGTTTTAATTATTATTATATTACTGCCTAACCCCTTCTTCCTCAGAGGCATCATTTGTGTTTACACAACTGTAACTAGTGTTGTGCAGGAATGTATCACCAATTTGGTTTTGGAAAAAAACTAAGTATAACAACAGTATATTTGTGTTTCTGCACATATTTTAGTAGACTTGAAAAAAATGTGTACGCAGAATTCTCCCAGAGAACGCCATAAAAGAATCAGTGTGCTTTAGATAAAGCACCACAGTTTGTAGTTGGTTGGACAAAGAGTCTGGGTACTATAAATGAAGTGTGTGCCATTTGGTGCAAAAGTTGGGTTTTTGTTAAGTTTTGATATAGTTTTGGGTGCAGTGCTTCATTTTGTCCTGTTAGAGAAAGCTAAAACTCAAATGACACACAGAGCACAATCATCAAAACTCTAAACACATTTCCAGCTTTGCACCCAATTTGCAATTAATATCATGGCACGTTTTGCAAGACACTGCACACTGCATGCTGTGAATGGATGCTTCCTACATCCAGGACATGGTTAAACTGTACATCACCCCAGCACGTGCACTCCGCTCTGCATCAGCCAAACGGCTCGCTGCACCCGCACTGCGAGGGGGACCCAAGTTCCCATCAGCAAAAACACGTCGGTTTGCTATCCTAGCTCCAAAATGGTGGAATGAGCTCCCCATTGACATCAGGACAGCAGAAAGCTTACACATCTTCCGGCGGCAGACTGAAAACACATCTCTTTCGACTCCACTTCGAGCGATAGAATTACTAACAAAGAATTGCTAACAAGCACTTATATACTAATAAAGGATTGGCTTATCTAAAGCCAGTTGAGTAGCACTTGAAATGTTTTGGCTCTATGAAACCTGATGTACTTATATGATTCTGTTTTCTTCAAGTTTGTATCTTCTTGGTCGAATGCACTTATTGTAAGTCGCTTTGGATAAAAGCGTCAGCTAAATGCAATGTAATGTAATGTAATGAATTAAACTGCGGAGCGGCGTTCACACATACAGCGGCTCACACAGCTGCAGAGAGACCGAGCGGTCCCAGCACCTGAAGGTGGATCAGTTTCCCCTGGGAGCATTTCCCCTTCGACTAGTTTTTGTTTTACTAAAGACGAGAGCTTGAAACAAAATGTTAATAAAACGCTCCTGTTGAATCTTTAGCATTTAACAAACGGTCGCTGTTTGGGGCATTACGTTACAAAATACTACACAAACAGCGCAATGCGGTACTATTAAATCCACGTAAGTTACTATCACACATCACAGTAATGAGGCCGGATAAAATAAACCAGGATACATCCTTTACCGTCAAACTGGGTCTAAACGTTGATAATACTCTCTGATTTTGTATTTATTATATGCTACTTTTTAGCTACATGGCCATAACGTGTAAAGTTATACAATAATTTGTACCAGTGCTTTCACAAGTAGACTCTTGCAGGCCAGAGTAGCTGGAGTGATTCAACAACAAAGAAAGACATATCTGAATTGATCAGGACAAACAGAAAGAGGAAAGGAAAAGAGTACTTACAGTTAAACAGAATTCTAGGGTATCATGAGTATTTTCGGCTGTTTTATACTATGTTTTTGTGTTTTGTTTGTCTGAACACCTGTTTCTCTTGTGCATTAAGAACACACATGGGTTAGGGCATGATTAACAATAAATAGGTTATATATAGTATAAAAATACCACGTACTGTCCGCCCTCCCTCTCCCATACCCTGGCATGACCTCTTTGCCACCCCATGTAAAATGTTTCTAGAGCCCCCACTGTATATAATACATATAATGGCACTGTTCGAGCTGTAAACACTGAATACAGATGTCAAGCTATGTGCTGTATCAGAAACAATGTGTGACGTGTTTTGAAAGTAATATGGTCTGTGTTTACATTAGCAAGCATTGCTAACACTCTGTACTGGAGAGAGTATGTGTAAGAAGCTGGATATAAAAGATCTGTCCTTGTGGTAAACCAGCGAAGAGAGAAGAGTTTGAGCTCCATACTATTTCAGAAATAATGCTTATGTGGTTTGGAACATAATATGGCGTGTTAATCACGGCAGCGTTTAGCTGAGTTTCTGCTGGTAGACAGCCTTCTCTTCACAGAGCTCACTGCTTGCATGCTTACGCTCCAAAGGGGCGTGGCCAGCAGCAGCTCGGTTTGCTTAAAGGGCAAGACCCAGAATCAGCACTTATAGTAACAGGGCTGAAATAGAGGGGTATGAGGCATGCCTACAATTGGTGATCTGTTTGGTATTTTGAGCAAAACACTTCAGAGACATGTTTTTGTATAGATATGGCCCTATAATATATTTTCAGATATAGCATAATAGGTGAGCTTTAAGCCACTAGTGGTTTTTTTTTGTGATTGAAAAGGTTCATGAAGGTAATTGCAGTCCAGGTGGGTTTTGAGTTGACGAGGCCAGTGGGACAGGGGGGAGGCAGGCCTTGACAAGGTGGAGGGGCATGGGTCCAGGATGGAGGTTGAGGTACTCATGCTGGTGACTTGGGCAACTATGAGAGGTTAATTTGGGTGAAAGCTGTAAAAGGGTGGCAGGTTCCAGATAAGGATGGGTGGTGGACGAGACGGAGGTGTTGATTAGGTTGCTGTGTATTATTTTACACAAGGTGAAAGTCTTGTTCTGTGGGTGGATTTCAAGATGGCGCTTCCCTCAGCTCTCTGCCCTTAGCTATCCTGTTTTTGTTTTATGTTTGTCAGAATGTCTCTGCTCTGCTCGTCTATGATCGCCAAGCTCTCCTCCACCTCAGACCCTCACTGGAGTTTATACTGCTGCCCAAACTACATCCGCAACCGTAAATCGACTCCCCCCCCCCCTCTACTTGTCAGATATTCCCACCTACCTGCGCAGGTTGCCCTGCATCCTGCCTCACCGAAAGCGCTTTTAGACGACAGGGAAAGCGTGGTGTTTGCGCTGTGTCCATCAAAAGCATACCTGACGGCTTCTTCTGGGACTTATCCACGTATCAGATGTCATGGCCCTCCTCCCGCTGCACGCCATCTGAGGGTTCGGTGATTTGCCCTGTCTTTCCGGAGCCTGTCGTCTTGCTGGGGCCCGCTGGGCAGCTCTTCTGCCCGACTGACTGCTCCCGGTCCGCGCTGGCGTTCAACACGCACATCTTCGTCAGCTGAGACGCACTACACCTTCGGCCAGCCCGGAGAAAAACTTTGCATGGCTTTGCTAAATGCTAGGTCAATAGCAAACAAGACGTTCCTTGTTTAAACGACATCTTTCACCTCTCGTGATCTGGATTTTGATGTTCCTGACGGAGACCTGGGTCCACGCTGGCGAGTAGTACCGTTTTCTGAACTTCTTCCTCCCGACTGTACTTTATTTAGCTCCCCCCGTGTCATCGGCCATGGTGGGGGCATAGCAACAGTGTTTAGAGCTAGTCTCCAATGCCGATTGCTTCACCCACCTAGCTATGCTAGCTTTTGAGTTGTCAAGCTTTTTTAACTGAACCACCCGGCCTCGCCTATACTCTGCGCAGTCGGTATGTATCGTCCGCCAAAGTGCAATAAGGATTGCATACTGACTTTTTCTGACTTTCTGTCCCGGGATCATGGGTGAAAGTATGGATCGTGTGTTTGACTTTGTACGGAGATTTTAATTTCCATGTGTGCTTGCGAGTCTACACCTCTGGTTAGGGACTTTTAATCTCCTCGACTCTTTCGTTCTATCAGTCCGTGGCTGGTCCAACACACGAAAAAGGACACACCTTAGATTTAGTATTATCGTTTGGATTGTCTATCTCTGTGGATGAAACTGTGCAGCAACGCGTATCTCAGACCATTTACCGTTCTGTTTACAACCTCGATCCCTTCCGCAGGAGTCGAATTACGTGCCCCTACGCATCGTCTGCGTTTAATTAACCCCTTGACTGCCTCACAGTTGTTCAGATGCTTTTAATACTTCTCCTATCTGTAAATTAGAGGTGACTGTACTCTAGTGCGGATGAGCTTATCTCCATGTTTGATTCGACATGCACACTAATACTGGATTCTGTTGCTCCTTTTACGCTTAGACGCACCAAAGTTCTCTCAGAGCCGTGGCTTAATGACTGTACTTGCGCCTTTAGACGCGCTTGCAGGCGTGCAAAGAGAAAATGGGAAAAAAAGATAAACTCCATGTCTCCTTAGAAATCCTTCGTGCTTGCCTTTCCGACTACCAGACGGCAGTCAAAGCAGCCAAAACAGAGCATATTTCTCTGTTAATCTCCAAAAACAGCCATAAACCTCAAGTTCTTTTTAATGTCCTCAATTCGATCATTAATCCTTGTGATGCTTCTCCAATTGTGCCATCGACTACTCTCTGTGATACATTTCTTACATTTTTGATTGAAAAAGTATCTGCTCTGAGGCTAGCCCACACTAGTGCTACCCCAGATCCTGCTCCTTTTCTGTGCCCTGCTGTCCTCGACCACTTTGAGCCTGTATCCCTCTCTTCTCTCTCGGATGTAGTCATGCACTTGCGGCCGACAAACTGCATCTCAGACAGCATTCCCTCTCGCTTTCTTAGAGATGTTTTTGAATCAGTTGGAGCGAGTGTTTTATTGCTTGTAAACACCTCTCTTAGCTCAGGATGTGTCCCAGCTGCCTTCAAACATGCCGTGGTGCAGCCACTACTCAAAAAGAAAAATCTTGATCCCTCCATTCTTGCAAATTTTAGGCCCATCTCCCAGCTACCTTTTTTATCTAAAGCCCTGGAGCGAGTAGTCTACGCCCAGCTGCAGTCGTTCTTAACCACGCAGGGAATCCACGAAAAGTTTCAGTCTGGCTTCAAATCCATGCACAGCACTGAAACAGCCCTTTTAAGAGTTTTTAATGATCTGCTCCTAGCCGCCGACTCAGGTAGCCCAGCTGTTTTGGTGCTGTTAGACCTGACAGCTGCCTTTGACACTGTGGACCATAGCATCCTGCTGTCACGGCTTGAATTGTCCGCAGGCATCACAGGCTCTGCCCTTGCATGGTTCAGGTCTTACCTGACAGACCGTAGCTTCTCAGTGCAGCTAGGTGCTTTCTCCTCTGCCAAAGCCCCTCTTACCTGGGGGGTTCCCCAAGGCTCGATTCTGGGCCCCATCCTTTTTCTACTGTACATACTGCCCCTAGGTTCAATTCTCACAAAACATAATATCCCCTTCCATTGTTACGCTGATGATGTACAGATCTATCTGCCTCTCAATCAAAATGCCAACTCACTACAGCAGCTGATGGACTGCTTAACAGAGATTAAATCCTGGCTGAGCCAAAACTTCCTCACGCTCAATGAGAGCAAGACCGAGGTCATCTTTTTTGGACCCCAACCTCCAGTCTCCCCGGTTGATATTCTGGGCTCCCTCAATAAAAACATCCTCTCCTCTGTCATGAACCTTGTAGTGACCTTCAATAGCGCTTTTAAATTCGATAAGCAGGTCAGCACCGTAGTCAATACCTGCTTTTTTTAAATACGACTGTGTGGCTAAGACCAAGTCGTTTTAGTTTTAAAGACCTAGAAAAGGTTATTAACGCCTTTGTTAACTCGAGACTGGGATTACTGCAATGCTCTGTATGTGGGTATGGACCAGGCTGCAATTAGACGCCTGCAGCTAGTTCAGAACGCAGCTGCACGTCTTCTCACTGGCCATAAAAAGCATGACCACATCACCCCATTCTGCCTCATTGCACGGCTTCCAGTTCGGTTCAGAATAGATTTTAAACTCCTTTTATTTGTTTTCAAAGCCCTAAATGGGCTGGCTCCGGCCTATATAGCCGAACTCCTCCAGCGCTACACCCCAGCCAGAGCCTTAAGGTCGGCTGACCAGCTGCTGTTGATAGTGCCCAAGACTAGGCTTAAAACCCGAGGGCACGAGCATTCGTAGCAGCGGGCCCTAGGCTCTGGAATACTTTGCCCCTCCATGTGAGGTCGGCCCAGACCCTAGGGGTTTTTAAATCGACACTTAAAACTAATTTCTTCTCTCTGGCCTTCTAGCCTTCTCTTATCAAGCTCCACTTTTGTAGAATTCGGCTTCCGGTTTGTGTTCGGGCGGCCGATAGCCTTTCCGTTTTAAGAGTACGCTTATGACCTTCCTTTTTGATAAAGCTTATAGCTGATATAATAATCAAATAAGACTGCATTGACGTAGATACGCTGTGCATCTTCACCTATATTTGGGTCCTTGCTCTTTCACTTAAATCCTAAAAACTTGGATCGTATATTGAAAAATAAGGTTATTACTACTACTCATTCTTCTAAATCTTGTCTCTCTCTACTTCTCATACTCTCTATTCCTGTAATCGATTCTTTCTATCCTCTCTTTATCCAAAACCTTTTCCCTCTCTAACCTCTCCAGGTTTTATTAGAGGGAAACAGGTTTGCAGAGTGGCTTAGGCAGGCCGGGGAGTGTTACGATTCGTAGACACAGCGTACCTCCCTATCTCTCACTAATTTCCAACTAAGGCTCCAGTGGGGACTTTGTTCCCTACGTGTGCCTCTCCACCTCTGTTTCTTACTCTCTTACTTGCTACCCTTTCCCCTTAACTTATCCTAAGGGAGTGCTTGTTCTTCCTTCTGTCTGTCTGTGTCTGTGTATTCTCATGTTCCGATTAACCCAGCCAAAATGTTTCTTCTTTTGTGTCTATATCGACGCCGGGATCCGGAGTCGAGGCTGATCCTCTTGCTGTGGTCCTGTGCCCTGGATCCTCTATCCTGAGTTCTGGATTAAGTCGTGGACTTCGGGTCGTGGCTGGGCCTGTCTCTGCGGTCCTGCCTGGCTCTCGTCATGCTGCTTCCCTGAAGGCTCCCACAGGATTGTTGTTGACATCCTTGTGGATTAATCTTCTTATTATAGACAGATGCATTTCCTAACATTCGGTCTACCTACCTACGCTGTAAAACGTATTATCTCTTCGATTTACACACAGCATCTATTGCACTTCTGTCCGCCCTGGGAGAGGGATCCCTCCTCTGTTGCTCTCCCCGAGGTTTCTCCCATTTTCTCCCTTTAAACTGTGGGTTTTTCTCCGGAAGTTTTTCCTTGTACGATGTGAGGGTCTAAGGACAGAGGGTGTCGTTTTTTCTCATACTGATATTCTGAACAAACTGTGCTGTTGTATTAGCTGTAAAATGTCTTTACTGTAGGGTATTTTTATTAATTGTACAGCACTTTGGCTCGACCAAAAATCGTTTATAAATGTGCTATATAAATAAAACATGATTTTATTTGATTTGATTTTGATCTTGCATTGAAGGAATGAGTAATAAAAACCGTTAAAGTCTTCCAGTCTGGAAGAACTGACTGCATATGTGCTGTAAAGAGGGACTGTCGTAGGGCAGGGCATTTGAAAATATTCAACACAGTGGTTAAAAGTGCCAAAGCTCTGTAACCACATTTTAATGGTAAGCACATGCTATGATTGCTGTGACGTACATGCTTAAAAGGTAAGTCTCACACCAGCTTTAGTAAGACACTTGCAACTGTCCACCTACCTGACACCATTTTAGTGCTAAGCTAAATTATGTCAAGCTAGCCTTGATTTGGGTTTTGAGTAAGAGCAAAGAAACACATGCATTATAACAATCATAAATCATGTAAGTCTTGTTGAGTATGTGATCACCAAAGAAATCCTTACTTGATTAAACCGTCTTTGAGGCATTGTAACACAATCATATTTCATGTATGTTTCATACATGAACATAAATGTTTTCATTATCATCTTCTCCATGTTAAAGTTAGGACTCATTACATGAGATTACAAATGAAAGAATACCTGATAACTATTGTGGAATATAATGTGAGGAATAACTAATGTAATGGAAGTATTTTGTCCTTTTCGTCTGGTACAATAGCAGCACCAACAGAAGTGCCTTTACTGAAGTGCCTTTTGGCAGGGGATTTAATTGTTACCTACTTATAGGCACAATGTGCTTTAAAAAACAGATCCATCCATGTCCCTTCTTGGGCTCCGCATATTCCTGGAAACTCTGTTTTTTACCCACTTTTCCATGGCGGCCTGGAAGGCTGCAAAGCCACGGGCCTGGCTGTAGACCGGCTGGCCCTGGGGGTCCATGGCTGACACCTCACTTAAAGCACAGTCCCTGGTGTGCATTACAAATCTGCATGTCTGCGGAACTTCGATCTCTACCTGAAGATATGTACATGCAGAGACAGGGTCAATGGAAAAACAGGGAGGGATTTCAGATAAGAACATTCTGTTGTAAAATGACCTAACAAACACATAAACAGGAATTTACCTGACAAGAGACTTTTGCGCCGTTCTTCAGGTTGGCAGTGCCCACCATGCCATTTCTGCTCTCTGTGGTGTATTGGTACACATATTTCTTATAGGTCCTGAATCTGGATGCCACTGCAAGTAGAAAATGGTATCACATGGTTTTACTGATCCTTTAGGATATGTGTCCCTTGGGATAAGGGATAAGGCCTTATCCCTGCCTTTAAATATGAGATCAATAGTATTGGTGTATCTGAATGTATTTATTTAAGAAGGGACAATGTACATTAATCAACATGAGCACTTGAGTCCATCATGTCAGTGTGGCAGATTATCCATAGAGGCTAATCTTCATCTGCAGTCCCTGGGCGGTTGACAGCATTCAAAGAAAAACATTCAAGAGCACATCAGGACAGAAATAACACATGAGCCCAATGACAGCATATAAGCACAGGTAAAAGCACATGAGCACGATTGCAGCACATTTAACGCACATATGCCCACTTAAAAGCCCTAATATACAATTCCATTAACACACAACCGACATTAAAGCACATAGTAGTAGTAGTAGTAGTAGTAGTAGTAGTAGTAGAGCACACTCATGAACTGTTAGCGCCGGGGCCTCGCTGCGGGGAAACTGTGGCGCGCATAATTGCGCTGCATTTGCGCATAAACTGAGACCTCTGCGCAAGATGAGGCCCTACGCACTGCGCGTGTTCTGCGTGTAGGGAGGGGCAGCCCTGGTACAGACTGCCAGGTATGTGCTACCTGATAGGAAAAGACTGACTGCCGAAAAGTACTCTTTCTATGAGGTATTTTATAATCCCCACTCGCAGTAGCACTGGTTGATGAATTTTGATTGTGTTTATTGAATTAATTACCAAGCAAAATGTTATACACGAGTAAGATGTTGCAAATTCTATCATGTTTTCCTAGTTAAAAAAAACATATTTAGTAAAGACATTACAATGATGATTTGAAATTATATGAATTGTTATCCAATGTTTTCAGACCCTGCTTAGAAAATGTTTCCACAGATTTTATTTTGGTCCTACTTGTCTGTGTCCAGCTGGTGAGACAGTAGTTTATGTGTGAGACAATCATTGCATTAAAGTATAATTTTGAGGCCTCTGTAGTTAAACTGTACCTGATGTGACGAACATTTGCCATGTTAAATTTGATTCAGATCACAACTTTTTTGAACATGCGTTTTTAATGTAAGTTGTGAATCAAAAACCATACCTAAATATTTAAACTCATTGACTACTGATATACTTTTTCCTACTACTATAACTCAGGGGTCTGGATCTCTATTTGCATTCACATTGAAGAAAACATACAGACGGTTTTGCTGACATTGAGGTGTAAATGTGAGTTTGTTAACCAGTTTTAGATATTGACCATTGAAGCTGATAGTTCTTCTGCAGCCTTATTCTTTTTTTTGGCATGTATATGACTCCAGTGTCGGCATAGAGCTTCCTTATAGCATTAATGAAAAATATTGATTTAGCCTTTTTAAGCTCTTTTACAACAGTAGTAGTAGTAGCGAATCATTAAAAGCACAGGAGCAAGAGTCCATCAGCTTCCTGCCGCTATCTCCAGAAACAGGTCATGAGTTTGTAGGTTAAGCACAGCCACCATCGATCTGTTAGCAGGTCGATGTGTCTGTTCGTAACAACATCCACTCACCCCACCTCCTATCTTAGCCTATCTACCCTATGCACATACACATTTTTCCAGGTACCCACAATGTTAACCCCCGGGACAAAGTACAGAGTGTTGTGGCTCCATCAATATGGGGCTCTATCATCTCCTTAAAATCTACAATATTGACATAATGTCTTCCAATTTGATCAAATTATCAAAGAATAGTCATGTAAACAACCACATTACAATCTCTTCAGAAGAGGGTTTTATGGTTTCATAATGAGAAATGCACATTTAATGTGAATATAACTAATTAGTTTGTTGAAACTTACACAGACAAGTTGAAGTTTGTTCATTGTTGTCATTGCCTTCCTCTGGAAAACAAAACAAAAATAGTGACTGGTTATATAAATAAGTAATGAAGATGGTTTTATTAGAATTATAAATAAATATAGAGTTTATGAAGTGAACAAATGTGTCCATTTTGGACTATTTTCTTTTAACATCACCCATGGTGGCAAGGAAAATAAACTGGGGGAAATAGAAAGGAGGTTATTACATACTTAAACACTAAGCATTCATTCATCTATTTTTTAAATGACAATTAATAACTGCTGACAGCCGGGTAATATATGTACAGTATGAAAGATAAACAGAATAATTCGTTTTCTATTTGAGTAAAATGTTCCTGCTGTTATTCCTGTTGTCCCACTGCCAATGGATAATTATAAATATTTATTAAAAAAACGTATTTGAATATGATACATGGTGACAAACTGAGTTTTCTAACCAAGGACTTATCTTTGTGGTTATTGTAAGGGTAATTATAACATTAAAGGAATATGGATTTAAATGAGTCTAGAATATTTGTATTTGAAAATTAAATTGATGCCAAACTTGTTATTGTTAAAGCATAATGATATTGTGATGATAGTATAATGAGAAAACATGCAAAATGGCAGGACCCTTGAACTATCACACCAATATAGTCCTTTTTCACAGAAGACATTTAATTCCATTTTCAAACTATGGGTCCTAGTATTGTTTATGTTGGATTACTGTATATGTTACTCTGACACTTAAACAGAGCAGAGCCATCGTTAATCTATTAGTAAAGCCTGTGAGAAAAAGGCTTTTAGCCTTCAACTTCAAAATAGTTTGTTTTAAATGAGAAATGTGACTGTAATCGATTACTTTGATTTAAAATGAATTTCTACTTACGAGCCAAAGTGTAGCTGCTAAGAAGCAGTAACAGAAACAGCTTGCCGTAACCCATCATCGGCTAAAAAGGTGCTTTCCTCTGTGTTCTTTAGCCCTTTCAGTCTTCACTAATACATCCACACCTTTACCCAGAACTTTATTAGGACCCTCTTCACTGCCTCTCAATAAGCCACCCCTTCAGACTACCAAAGCCTGGCTGGTCGTTTCAAAGTACAAACTCTGACAAACAGTGAATGTTGTGTATATAACAGTTTCTCGATACTTCAGTTTTTGTGGGTCGGCATCCCGGTTCTATGACCCGCTGGAGTTGGGTGGCTTGGTGAAAGTGTAGATCTCAAAGTTCACCAGATTTGTACATTTAACTTGATATGTGAAAATGAAAATGTTTATTTTGCAATACAAAATGCTGTAAAGTAATATTGCAACATATACTTTTTCTAATATAGTGCAGACCTAATTTGTACATTGGCATGATGGAGGAGAAAGTAGTTCTCTGTTTATTTAAATGCAACAATACAATTGTTCACTTAATAGTAACAATGAATAATTGTAATGAATTATTATAATCCCAATATTTATAAAAATAATTGATGATAGATTAGCATGTTGTAGAATCATACAGGATATTGTATAGTTAGTGAGTACATATTTCATTTCTGTTTCCAATTAGCAAGATTGCAAGGAATTCGCAATTTAAAATGGCACTTTTATAAGTCATGGAAAGGTTTAGATATTTATAAAGTTGTGTATATTGTGATATTGTAACATGTAAATTCCAGTTTAATGTAACTTTTACATCCGCCGCCAGCACAGACCCCCCGCCACCTTATTTTACGAGTTGATATAAATAATTCGATATTTTATGTTTTTTCCTTTGAACATCATCATTTGAGTTGCACACAAGAGGCGACAGTGCTAATGCAAACATTTGGTCCCTGCTCGCCAAGTGTGTATTTACTTCATTGTGACACCACTGGTGCATTTCCATGGCTCGTGCTGAGGAACTTGCTCAGCACTTTTTCTTTCTGAAAAAAGAAAATTATTTGCAGTTTCCACTATGGGCGATACACATGCTGCTTTGTTTTACATGCTAAATTCCAATGTGTAAATGTACACGCGCTTATTGTCACTACAGCTGTGCCAAGAGTAAAAAGTTACTTTTTCAAGCTGGAAAGAGGCCATGAGGCTCCCCGGTGAAAGGAAGTCTCCTCCATCAAAAAAGCAGACTATGAAGTAATAACAGAGCATCTGATGTGTGTATTTCAGAGGTTTACTGTAGCACCAGCTGTCGTTGTAAAACAACACTGCGCTCTGCACGCTGGGAATGCACATCTCAGAGGTCGCTCAATTGTTGGGAGCAGGGCTAGGTCAGTTCAAAATGATAGTTTATCTCAAAGTATTAGTGTTAACAATAGTTGGATATAATGCCCATTGTAGAAACAATAATCATAATAATAATGATAACAATTATTTTGCTTCCTCGTTATTATAAAATCATAGTATTAAACATAATTGAACAATAATGGCAAATAACTTCAACAGCAAAAGCAATAGCAATATAAAGGGGAAACATTTTCAAAAGGGGAAGGTCAAATAAATGATAGAACATATTAAATAAAAACGTGACCATATGGAGGTTTGATTAAAGATGAGATTGTTCCACACTCCTCTCTGTTGTCTTGCCTTTGGCTACTGGCCACAAAGAAAGATAGATACATTAAATAGAATAAAAATTAGGGAAGAAAAGTAATACAAAGTCATAATTATAAATACATAAATTAATACATTTTAATGTATACATAATCAAGCGCAGAGTACCACAAACAACAACAAGTATCAATGACAACAATATGATAATGATAACAACAGCAACATCAACCAGCTTGAGAAGAAAGTCAAGTAATATGGGAGTGAAAGGAAAAAATAAATAAAAAAAATAATATATGAATGACATGAAAGGAACATGAATAATGTGAGATGTGAGCTTTGCATGTCTTTTGTACTCACAACAGACACGCAAAGCACATTATTCATGATCCTTGCATGAAAAAAACTAGATTAGAATACTAGATTGAATTGTGTACATCTGTCCCACACGATCACAATGTGAAAAAAAGCGTGCCGGACCGGCCATCAGCGAACCGAGCCGGTCGTCAACAGCCCGCTGGCGGCCGGCCGTTCTGTGATTCTCCAGAATACACAGATGGCCAGTCCGCCCCTGTGTCCATCTGACATAATATTTGCTTGTCAAAACAAGATGTTCTATTCATGTTAGACTGTGTAAAACAGGGGTCTCCAACCTTTTTTAGGATGAGAGCTACTTTCAAAAAACAAAACAAGTCGTGAGCTACTTTTACTCCTCTTTTTTTTGTTTTTTGCAGTGTATATATTTAGCACATTTTAACATTATTGTATGCTTACTGTAACGGTCTGAGAAGTGTTTATATTTGGATGTTCATTTGTGTGCCCTTGCTTATCAAGTTATGATTTAGTAAATGTGAGTGTAATTAGACAATTGTAAAATGTAGAGTATTATCTGATAGCGAAATGTAGAATGGTTCACATTTGGGATAGTGGTCGGTGAGTCGCATGACCACAGTCAGGTCAGAAGGCATTGCCATGGCAACGCATGCCGTTGGCATAATCTACAGGGTTCAAGAGGCGCACACGGTAAATGTTTGTCTTTTGTGATATGTGTGTTAATATTTAGTGTGTGCTTTGATTTTGCTAATGTGTTAGGGGTTACGATTTAATGTAAACTTCAACTGTTCATTTCTTATAGTTTACACGTTGTCTTCAGAGAATGAGAGTGAGAGGGAGAGAATAAACCGTCAAAAAGACATCAGTATGTTCGTGGCCTTTATTTACCGGTGTAGCTACAGTGTAAACGTACCGCCAACATGGCCGAAAGTAAAGAGCAACGAGAGAACCAAGGGAAGTCCGTGAGGGATCGCTAAAACAGCGCGTCGACGGTTACCAGGGCAGACGTCGGAAAAGAGGCTGGCTGTCACTGACTGAGAGTGGCGCGGCTTCACCAACAGTGTAGAACAAACATCCTTACCACAGACTTGCAACGGGCAGTATCAGTTTCATCTCATCTCTGCGTCAGACAGAAGAGTGCGGCTCTGCAAACGGCCACAGGTTTGACTGTGTTACCTACAGGGTTGTGACATTTTATATGTGTATAAAAAAAGCAGAGACTTGTTTAATATTGGTTTATTGGTTCATAATAATAGCCCATTGTTGTTTATGGCTTATTATTGTTACTAATGGTCAAATGAGGTTTTTCATCTGAGATTTCTATGCATAATATAAAGAGAGTTTTATTAGAGTAAATAGCAACACCATATCAGTATCTGGGTTAGACTTATAATAGTTTTCACATACAGTGGTTTTTCTTTAAAGTGTAAAATGTCAGTGCACGGAGAACAATCACACAGTGGTGAATTAAGGGAACAAAGTGAGTTTCTTCAGTCTGAACTGACTAGGTTAAGTGAGCAACTAAAATCCCAAACTGATGATGCTGAAAAGGAAAGATTGGAGATGCTCATTGGTGATATTCATGCCAGCATTGAAATCCAGAAAGTAACAATGTAACCCACTTCAGTCACTTCCGAGTGTGCCAAACTCAGACAATCGTCAAGAGAGAGAACGTTAACCCCAAAAATGCTGGAGTTGAAGCAAAAGGAAGTATCCTCAACTAGAGAGCAATTTAATATGCAATAAACACATTGGAAAGATCGAGTTAGAGACACACGCACCAAACTAAAGGATGAGTGCTCAGACAATGACTTGAGTGACATGATGGACACTGTTTGAAGAGGCAGGAGACAAGAGTTAAAGATGTGTATGACAAATTACGGTTCATTTCTGCACCTTCCACTAACATTAGAAGGAACATTGATTCCTGCATAGCTGTAACAGCAGACTTAATGGGGCTAATGAAGGTACGCATGAGTGAAGTCGGGCAAGAGGAGTTTGATGGTAAGGCAGAAAATGCAAGACTTCATATGGTGCTTGACCGAGACTATGCACAGTCAATATATAGTAAGTCCTCAGCCTCCAAAACTACGAATCGTAGTCACAGCTCAAGTCTTTCATCAGAATCACAATTAATGACCGTGAAAAGAGCAGACTGTGCTGCAGAGCTTGCTGCTAAAAAGGCTGAAATTGAGATGGAACAAAGGCAAAAACTTAAATGACTGGAGAATCAGAGAGAGATTGAAATAATAGCTGCCAGCTAAAGGCATACTCTGAGGCTGACTCAAGTGAAAGCCATGACAAAGGTTCACCAGTGCACTTTCTCAGGTACCCTCATAAAGAGCTAAAAATAGAACAACATGTGAGAACAGCAAAAAGATACAAACAAACAGTGCTGCTAACAACGAACTATTGCTGACACAAGTCCTACATGACACAATGGTTCTCACCAGGCTTCCTGCACCTGAGCCTACAGTCTTCTCAGAAGACCCACTACATTTCTTGAAGTGGAGCACAGTTTCAAGACCTTGATAGAACGGCGTTGCACAAAATTCAGCAGACAGGTTGTTCTATCTACAAAATACATCAGTGAGAGAGACGCAATCTGTGTTGGAAGGAAGCTTCTACAGAAAGGACGATGAAGCTTATTACCAAGCATGGAAAGCATTGAATGCACGAAAGGGCCACCCCTTTGTAATCCAGCAGGCCTTCAGAGAAAAACTGAAAAACTGGCCCGAAATCGGCTCAAGAGAGTCTATCAAACTAAGACAATTCAGTGATCTTCTGACAGCATGCAGCAATGCTATGCCACACATCAAAGGCCCACAAGTATTAACGACTGTGAAGAGAACCAAAAGATGCCTCCAAAAACTCCCTGACTGGTTGACCTCTCGCTGGAACAGACAAGTCACGAAGCAGCTTCTACAAAACAGAGGAATATCCTACATTCAAAGAGTTTGCCAAGTTTTTAGCCACAGAGGCAGAAATTGCATGCGATCCTATAACATCCTTTCATGCCTTGAAATCTAGTGAAGAGAGAACATCCAGAGATAAAAACGGCACAAATGCTAGTGCATTCATAACAATGTGAC